GGCTGTAAAGCATTTCACGAGGGACAGGTACCATGCCATCCCGTCCAGAACTCGTCCAGGATGGCCAGCTTCGGTTTTTGTGAGAGAACTACGTGCTGGGTGCCACATTCCATGCACGTTGTGATCTGTCAAGGGCGGACGGCCAGCTTACCACCCCTGGAGCCTGAGAGCCAAACCTGGGTCATCTGGGTATATCTGCTTTGCTAGCCACCACGCCAGAATGCGGGCCGAACGCGTCAACAACTTGTCGAGTATACGACCGCACATTGCGCCCAGATACAGGCGCCTTCAACGAAGACAGCATACGACCAATGGATGGTATACGTTTGACAGCAAATCCAGCGTCAAGGATCGATAGGGCTGTTTGATCTTCAACGCTTTCCGGGAGGCCCTGGGCCTCAGGGCTGCTGGACGCTGTTTCTGTTGCGGCCGATTAATATGGGACCCGGCGGTATGTTCCGTGTCAACCATTTTCTTTCCGAAACCACAGTCTTGGCTTCTCATGAGGCAAAGAAAGGCATGAGGACTTTGTCCTTGCTTTGTACCACTCTGGGCTCTCGAGCGCATGTCTGCTCAGCGTGCGAGACAAGTCCTGGCCTTTGTGAACCACCTCAACAATTCATGGCCGGGAAACTGATCTCACTTTTCCACGCCCATGAGAAAGGACTAATAGAATGGTCTTGCAAGCGGAGACCTTGGGGCGAATGCGAAGCTGGCATTACAGGCTTTGATCCTCCTTCCTAGCCCTAGTTGAAAGGCCGCGGCCCTCCCACAGCCCTTTAAAAACAGCCTTGAATGTTGTAGAAAACGCGACGAAAGGGAATTGCTAACATTGGCCATAGTTCCTACTGCTTCAGAGAGCAACTCATGTGCCCGCGGAGTAGGCAGTTGTTGCACTTCACGCCAATCCCTCTGGAAATGCACTGGACAAACACCAGGCTTGGACTAAGTTTGCAGCATGCACCACACTCCGAACTCAGGGACAGACTGCGTCGCGGTAGAAGCCACAGGTTGAATTAGAGTGACTTCCAACAATCATCGCGGCAAAAGGTTCGGCTGATGTAAAACGTCCCGACAAGGTACGGTGATAGTCCTCCGTAGGCATACGCTTGTACGGTTCGCCTTTGGAGTTGTAGCCGAGAACTTGGCCATTTCCTGCTTAAGAATTGACCATCCCAATAAGCACTAATAGTTAACCATAGCGTACGGAAATTCACAAATAGAGTTCGGTCAGCCTTGATCGCTTAATGCGGATATCTTCAGCTCCCGCCTTCTTGGCCTTCTGTTTACGACCATCTTTGTCTATACTGCCTAGTGGGGGACAGTTTCCCAAGGTGCCATCTCTACCCGTATCACGAATCTCGGGTTGCGCCTCTGGATCATATTGTCCGCCTGGTCAACCTCGCTTGTGTGGCGAGCTTCGGACTGAGCGGCTGGGCTGGCTGGGACACCTGCTTCCTGGCCAGGACCCGGGTCCAAGAACTTGGCTGGTTCCACAGCAAGTGGCTTTTAGCCTTCGCGAGCCTACTCTACTAGAGAAGTTGGGTCGTAGTACCAGGGCGAAACGACCTTGGCAGCAGGCGAAGCGGCGACACGGGCGAAAGGCGATATGTCGAGTAATATGCCCGAGAGAGGTACCTTCTCACACGGGTAGACAGGGGCGGGCTGAACACAAGGCAGGGGCCACGTTGTATTGGGCTGTCAGTGAACTGCCGTGACTGGTGACCCAGTCCGTGTCTGTTGCGGGCGCCTCCCTCCGATGATATCCTGATATCACAGCCAGCAACGTAAAGCGTGTGTTGGCGAATGCGTCTCTTCCCTTCGGTGACCCGGGGGCCCGCGGCAACGCGTCGCTCAATCCCTTTCTAGTAGCACCACTGTAGTAGGCACCCTCTTGAAAGGCCAGGACCGCTTCATCCTCGTCACGTCACGGGTCTCTTTCGCGATTGTTTGCTTTAGTTCCTCTCTGACTACTACGCATTGCGCATATAGATTGGTCCAATTTCAGTTTTCTGACCAGCAGAACCAAGCTTGAGAGAGTCCGGGTACTGGAACACGGCTGACCGAGCGATGGAACGTACATCAGGGGGATCGCGGTGCTCAAACATCGCCAACCGAATAAGTTTGTGGTTTAAAAAGGGGAGAGGCGAGAACAGCCCACCGTCGATTGTTCCGATGTGGGTCAATGATTCGTTTTTCAGGGAATGTGCCATAGTCGTGATATCCTCGCGGATTCCCTGTTGGCCGGCGCTTCTCCAGCGTGTAATTAGTAAGTGAATGGGAGGTTTTTCCTTGTCCTTTATCCGCCCAGACCCCAGAGACTGATCCATGCTGGTAAAGGCCTGCCTGTGGTACTGGTCCAGCCCAAATTTGGCCAAACGCCTTTGTAGGGGCATCAGAACAGTCACTAGGAGGACCGCGCACGCTGACACATGGCGCCATCATGGTTTGGTATAGGTGGCTCCACCAGTAATACAATGGAGAGTTAGGCCAGAGTTCATGAAACATGACAAGTTGTCTCTTGCGCACCTTGGAACCGGAGCCCAATAGCTATGAGAACCGTTTGGAGTAAAGAATACTCAGTTGACCAAGTCCACACCAGTGTGATGAAGACATTGGCTGTATATGCTGCCGTGGATCAAGAGACATCTGCAGATGCAGCATATGCTGAGATCTGGTCTGTTGGACTTTAGCACTGAACATTCAACCTTTTCAGAGGACGGCAAAAGGAATTCCTATAATTTTTATGCTTGGAGAGAGATGTCTCTGAGCCTGTCCAAGGCTTTGTGTAGGGTTATCCGGCAAGCGTGGCGGACGGTTTCGGTTTAATCCGCGCCGCGCTCTTGTGCTTCCCACTGGGGCTCGCCGGCAAGCGGCTTCTTATGAAACTGTCCCCTTTTCCAATTCGATTGCCCTCCTGCGTTTGGGGACCAGCCGACATAACGTCCAAGCCAACCTTCCGCTTGTAAGTCCAAGTCCAGTAGTGAAGTCCAGTAATTCGTGTGCGAATTGAATTCGTGAATGCTGTACGAGTAAGAGTTGTCGATAATAAGTTCTTGTTACCGAGTGAAGTCACACTTAGTCATGCAGAGTGATAGGAACTTTACCTGACGGAGCCTAAGCATGCGTACGCCGCGGTTGACCGGAAGAAGCAAGAGGAAGGCTATACGGAGGACAGAGATCCAGACCGGCTCATTCCTAGACGATAACCACGGGTGAGAAGTTGGTTTCCCATGCGTTTCACGAGCCTTTGATATACTTACAGCAGGAATACAAGACTCCAAATCTGTAAATCAAGGCTTCAGTTATGGTTGGATACAGCCAATCAGTATCCAAGGCCAACCCCACCTCATCTGCGGCGCCGTTTACGGCGGCCACCCGGATATGCCATTACATCTCTAGGATATCGGACTTCTGACTCCATGGGTCCGAGCGGAAAGCGCAATGCCGCATAGTCCATGTGCGGAAATACACATGTCAAAGGCATTGTAGTATGCGTGTCGAGGAATACCCTTGAATATCCAGAAAAAGGCTCACAGGCGTTGATTGGCTGATATCCAGCTTGAGGAGGACCGGCGAGCCCAGGACCTATGATCCGGATGTCTCATCGATTGTATGCTGCATCTTCGAGCCACTGAGAGAACCAGACTCGGGCGCAACTCGCCCAGAGAGCACACCTAAAAGAGGGGGCCAGCTCGCCCCAAGCATGGGCACTGGTTTGTATACATGCCTAGTCAAACTAGCCAGCATGTGCTGGGACTTGCTACTATAGTATGACTCCATCCACCTAGGGCCTTGGCCGTTAGTATGAGCATATTTCTATCGTTCGGTATTCTACACGCATCTGCGATTCGCGAGCTCTGTGGCTAGGTGCTACGTTCTCCTAACCTATGTCCCTTGGACAATCTCGGTCTAGGACAATTTCAAAGTAGACACTCTCCAGTTGCTCCAGGTGCCTTTGTAGCGTGACTTGTATGTCGCTAAGGCGATGATAGTATGCGCGGCCCACTCGTAATTAGGGGTATCCCTTCCTTCAAGCAATAGCGCAATCAAGTATTGCGGTCTCATGGTATAGACGTGTATTTTAATTATCTGGCTTGGCTCTGAAGTAAGACATGGCGCTGTCGGCCTGGTAGTCGTTATTCGCAGGTGAGAAAGTCCCAGAGAACCCCTGCCGCAATGTGATTCCGGGTATATTCCCATCCAGACTGGCTTCGTTGAACCTTGAGCTGCGCCCGTTCATGTATTACGCGATTTGGGGGCCGCCAGTGTAGGAGAATCCATTCCCCATTTTGGCACTCTTGCTTGAGGAAAATGGTCTCCTCCCCGGCCTCATATGTTGAGATGAATGCGTATTTCAGTGGCGACTGTTTCACACATCACCACATTTCTTCCTCACCGAGGCTGTTACAGGTGGAGACCTTGGGGCCCGCCACATTGTAGACTTCTACCTTGAGCGTGCGGACCTAGTCTCCTGGCACTATGATGGCCTTTCTGACCATGTTCCTTGCCGCCGCCGGCGGGGGCACTTGGATCAGCCATGTTTCACCTGTTCGTTCCTCGACGTGTTGTGGCGCCGCATATCCCAGTTTCGCAACTGAACTGAGCGCCACCGGAGGCACCATGGCACTCCTGTTTCAGGAAGAATGTTTCCTCGTAGGTACTTATGAAGCCATAGTTGAGTTTGGCCTGTCTCCTGTGTTGCGCAACTAAGATCTCGACCATCATAATCTTGTTTGGTTTTCCGGACGGCAAAGAAACCGGACGCAAAAACTGCCTCGATGGCTAAGAATAGTAGTCGGCTGATGGGCATGAGATTGGGCGATGGTATTAAGTAGTGTCAAAGGGTTCCGATGTGGGGTAGCTTGAAACCCTGCTCGTAGGCACGACGGACATATCGCAAGAGGTGGTGATGGGTCCCGTCACTATACACATCGGACCGACTGATACAGCCCCTCTAAGCCAAAGTCTCTGACCCGAATCCAATGGATAGACACCGTTCACGCCCACCCGGGGAGCGGTTCTATGGACGGGTTGCTCGGTAGATCGTGCAAGACGGCGCTATCCGCGTTGGCGTCATCATATCTCATGCCAATGGCGCTGTAAGACACCAGGATAGAGACGCAGTGCATCTTCCACCGGCTTCTTTGCGCAGAGTCATCCCTCACGACCACTGTACCATAGTCGCCCTGTCCGTTCCACTTCTCGCCGATCCCGCCGGAAATACACTGAGCGAACACGAAACTTCGATTGGGTCGCGGCATGCACCACAGGTTATTGTCCCGCGCGAGTGACCAAAAGGCCCTCTCGCAACTGGGCGCATGTAGCCAATTGTCCCGAATCACCCCATCCACAGCAGAAGACGGGGCGAAGAACGGGGTTTTGTTTCAACATACTTTCCGTTCGCTTTCGGTGTTGCCCATCCCGGTTCTTCAAGTCTTTCCAGTTGAAGTTCGCTTCCTTGTGGGACGACTTAGCACCAGCGTTGGCATACGGAAATGCCACACGATCATCAGGGCCCGTAGGAACCCCGGCGTCATTGTCGCCCCCCACTCCCCCTCTCCCGGGAGGTCCACCAGCAGGGGCGGACATCTCGATGAGAACTGCCGGGGATGAGGAACAAGTAACAGAATTGGTGAAAGCTGTGGCCGGTAAGGAGAGAAATCAGGTTGTGGGTTAGGGAAGTTTGGGGATCGTCACAAAAGGACGGGAAGAGTCGAAAAGGAAAGGAAGATGAGAGAGAAGAGGAGCATTTGCCGGGGGTTCGTGGGCACTCTCCTTCGCCGTTGGTAGTCAGCTAGATCTTTCTTTTGCTGAAGTAATCCTTCACGGGCTCGAACCGCGACATCAAACCGGTTGGCCTCAGGCGTCAGAAAACGGCTTGAGATGATCAATATGAAACCTACCAACAGGTAGACGCGTTGCTACTTCCTGTAGGACAGCGGATCGGCCCTGTTTTGATCCCCTTTGTACTTCAAAGGGACCCGTCCATCGAGGGTCTAGCTTGCGGCCCTTTTCCTTCTCCCGAACGCTGTCCCACAACAGCACCAAGTCTCCAACGCGCGGGAGACCACCTTGTTTCGTGGACCGACAGGGTCTGAGCTCCTGTCCAGGGGGGAAGAAGATGGGTGAGCACTGTGTCCTATATGGGGGTTCTGATTTGTTTGTCGGCCTGATTGAGACACCGAGTGTTGGACAGAAGACTATGTTGATATCTATTCGTCCAACAACTAGTGCAGATATGACAGATGCTGTTGGCTACCTTAGGATACCTGGCTCTCGAGAACATATAACAGCCTTCTAGCTCCCTGGCCTCCGTGGCGATGAATAGTAAGGATGGCCAAGGGAACGAGGTTCTCCAGAGAGAGAATCATCCAAAGGCCTCTGATAGGCTTGGCTAGGGAGATTTATAAATCAGGAGATGAAGTCGCTCTCCTGAGTTGATGATGCAGCCATTCTATCCTCTGTAATTTTCCCCTCGTACCATCCAACCAGGCGAATCGTATGGCTGTCTCGCAATTGCAGTGAGCCAATTGCATATACCATCAGTCATCCCGGCCCACTAAGCATCTGTCACTTCAGGACCTACTCATGTGCAGTCCCCCTTTGCGAATCCAGAACCTGTGGTGCTTGGGGTGTGGCATTGCGGTACCCTTTGGACGGCAGCCACAGTGCAACGTCGTCTATGATTGGGCGAGGAGGAGGGTTTGCCGATGGCAGACCCGAGTATCGCCACCGCTCCTCTTTGTCTCAACTACGGCCCTCCCGCTCATCCCTGGAGAGCGTGTCCATCATATGTTGGACATATGGTATCAAGTACTGGCGCCCATCGCAAAGACAATCTGGTCCTCTTCGTCTTCGTGGGAAACTACTCCCGGTATTGCCAATGGCCCGGGTGTACCCTCCATTGGTAGAAGGATGACATCGCGAGCAGCACTGTAATGTATTTGCAACCTTGGAGGAGCAGTGCTATGATGTCAGTGGCTATTAGGACTTGATAGATATCCGTATTGCGTGCTCGTTCAACGTTTGTACGTCTAGGATTGGTTGGTTTTGAGCCCTACTATACCACTCCGTTCTGTGTGCGACAGGTTCGTCCCTTGGTTACAAAAGCAGGCACTGATTTGCTGGCCAATACCTGCATTCCAGAAGGCGTGAATTTATTGGCCCAGTGCATCTTTGAGTGCTTGTTTGACGTACCATGCGCTTGTCTTTTTCCAGAATGACGCTGGCACCTCAGAGTTTGCCAGATTACGAGCGTTTCGCGCCCTGAACATCCCACTCGGCAATAATCAATTATCCAGTCAGAGCCATGGTTGTACAAGTATAAACCTTGATACAAGTGTCGCAAATTAGCCAACGTATCAATCGCGCTCCTGCACAAATCCGATCGCAAAATCTATTAATTCGGCGACCCCCTGTTATTCCGGTGTCCCTTTGGCGGCCCACATGCCTCCTAGGAACTGCTATTCGTCCTTCTGGAGTATGATAGCTAGGGTGTTCCACACACATCGAGTTCGGTACCAGGTTGGTTGTATCTGAGACTATCAGAAGAGAAGGCTGAGCGGGGGATGTGGGATGAGAGCAGGTGGTGGGCAACGGGCACGAGCGCAATGAACGAGGGTAAATGTGTTCGAAGCCCTACCGTATGCACATCAGACTCTTTGTGCGGGGTTTGAGTGCTCTTTGCTCTGACCATATGCCGCTCCGTGTGTGTATCGTATGACAAACAACCTGTCGCGGAGCCAATATAGACCTGGTATGCACCATCATCGGTAACAAGGGCCATGGTATACGCCACTATAGAACGTCTAAACGGAAAAGACGCAGTGGAATCTTGCGTTCTTGGAGGGTCGAACGGATTTAGGTGAAGAAACAACAGGCCCAAGGCAAATTGCTCCAACGAGGCCTCTGGTTTCGTCCACAACATCGGTCACTAGTAGGTTGTCTATCTTACCCTCCATAACGCGATCTAGATCAAGTGAAAATTTGTCGCTATTATTTGGCGAAATGGTAGATGTTTGTGGGTCGGATAGGTTGTCGTCGGTGTCTGAGGTGGTGGACTCGGCTTTGAGCTCAACGCTGGCAGCTGAGCTTCATAGTATCAAGGTGATGAGTCTACTGAAAATTAGTATACGTCCCTATCTAGCGTAGGGTGCCACTTACCGCGTTCCTCGCTCACTCAAGACAACCACAGAAGCAAGGGGCGAAGGTACGCTGGAAGGGTACGATGGAGCATGTCTTTCGGGGCCTTGCGACGAGAGGACCGCCACGAGCCAGGGTCGGTATGAAAAGAGGATCACAAAGCCGTTTGAATGACTCGGGACTGCCCTACTAGCAGTCGTAGTAATGGCGCAGCTGAGAGATTCTTGGGGAAGACTTTCCAAGAGCCCATGGCGTTTATACATAGGCACAGCCACATCGATGAACTGGTGCCATTGCAGCTGCTTATCAAAGTTTTCTTTAGGAGATTCGCGCCGTATTGCTTCTCTGCATGGTGCCAATTGTGGAAGTTTTGGCACACTTCCTTCTTAGTGGCATCGTCTCGAGCCTGACGCTTGCAGCAGGTCCTCATTAATCTCCGCCATGACCTTATTGATAGCCTCGTTCGTATCGTCCGCAACAAGGAGGCCATCCACGTGGACAATGATGTAAGTGGTGTCTTGCCTTAATATGGAGGGATGATCTTTGGGCAACCGATTCAGTCCCAGCTTCTTCACACTTTGGACAACTCCCTCCACCAAAGGTGAGCGGCCTGGTAAAGGCCGTAGAGATTTAGCCACAGCCGACTGACGTAAAAGCCGAGCATTTTGAACCACCCAAGGCCTTATGTATATTGTCTTCTGTGCGCATGATAGCGTTTGAATAAGCTAGCACAATATCAATATCGGCATCATTTTCCTTCTCGGCCAGGTTCACGACGGACATGCTGCTCGCAGTATTCATTAACACTAGCGATGAGTGCCACCAGAATTTATGCCAGGCCGCCGACGGTGTCTGCAAATAACCCAGCTCACTTAAATTCTAAACATGGTTCTTCTTATCATCTTTCAGGGCAAAGACCCACTGGCCTAAAGGCCGTCGGCGCCTTTTGGATGCTGGACCTCTTCATACGTCTTCATTTCATGGATCTCGTGGAACTGTCGTTGCAAGGCCAACTTCCAACGAATCCCAGGAAGTCGACATGTTGTGGATGACTGTCACATTTCCTTTCTACTACAACCCTGTAACCTCCATGAGATATCCTGCACCAAGGATGAAAAGCACTGCTATCCACTTCCCGCCGGGATGGAATAATTCAAATGAGTCCTGTCGCTTCTCCTTCAGGCTGTGGACACCTTCAACAACGTACTCCTGTAGGTTGGGTAGACTGCGAAGTGACGTGGTGAGCTCTTGGATTAATTTGATCTTGTCCACCAAGACAACAACTCTGTTGCCAAAGTTCGCGGGGGTTTGGAGCCACGACTGTCGCAAATTGCCGAGACGAGGCATGGTGGTAAGGGTCTTTAGCGGGCATGCGTTTGTAAGGCCATCCGTTGGCGTTATAATGGTTTGGCCATTTCCATCTGAGAGTCCTTCCTTGCCAGCGCGATCCTAGAGTTGAACGAAGAGCCTGATAGTTGAAATACAAAGAACGACCCGGTCTGGTTTCAAAGATCACGTCGAGAGTCAGCAGTTTGGTCTTGCTGTCGTTATTCTCGTGGAAGTACCGTGTGTGAAGTTTTCGGACCGCGAGAACTTGAGTGATGAGATGTTGGACAACATTCAGATGCAAGGCAGCAGACTCTTTAGGACCATCACTAGAGTGAACAGCAAGGACACCCCCAACTATCCCAAAAGCTCTGTGAATTCTAGAACACCTTCAAAGGTCTCAGGTAATACGAGTAATGTGATGGCAGCAATCTCATCAAGGCAGGGCCGAAGCGGGTTGACAGGGGCTGAACTCCTGTCCAAGGGGGTAAACTAGGGACCACGACAAGTGCGTTCTGCGAGCACGGAACGAACCATGCCACAGGCGGCAATTCGACGAACTGCACGGTGGACCAGTTCTCGGCTGTCGCAGGCGCCGGAGGCGCCCTGTCCCATACCGCCCAAGGAGAGATTCCAGCCTCTCTGTCCTCCTCCGCGTTCTCATGGGCATGCACTCAACCTGGTAAATACCCCTCTCGTCAACGATTTTCAATCTCTCCGCTACTAACACACTTGGAATTCGACTTTGAGAAAAGACATAATGGTTTAGGCGAAAGGGATGTTATTGATGGCTATTCAAGAACTCCCGCTGCCTCCCCGCGCTGCTGTTCGCAGAAACTTTTCAGCAACTTTGGTCAACATCTGGGCAGCACCCGCTGCTCGCGACACGACCACCGTTCCCCATTCCTCTCCGCTACTTGCGGGCACCAATCATCGCCTCTAGAGCCAGGGCCCCGGTGTTAACCGGGCCTTTCGGGGACGGACCCCGAGCCTACGCTCAGGCGGCACCGTTGGATCGACGCCAACCCATTGAGCACCTGGTTCGTACCAGTTCCATTCCTCTGTCTCTATTACAAGGCCTAGAATACATTAGTATTAGTTTATAAATAATAACTCGAGGTTCTTAGATATCATACGGTCAACCTGAGAAAGCTTTTCTAATGAGATAGCCCTTTCCTGGTAACACGGGCATGCCGCCTTCTGCGGGGGGTCTCGTGTGGTTAAAAAGACGAACCATTCGCGGATACATGAGTGATGGTAGTGGTGGCCACATGGAGTCAGGCGCGCGATGGGCTGATGGGGGCCGTGGGCGGCCAGGCAAGACAGCAGGCTGGTTCAACCCCGCGGGGGTGGCCTTCGCCAGCGTTGACAACTATGGTTGCAAAGGAGTCAAGAACTCTTGCGAAGCCCCAAGGAAATAGCAGACTTCCGCGAAGCCCAAGACGCAAGCCCCTGCGAAGAGTAAAGGGAAAGGCACACTTGCGGGGGACTCCTCCCAATCGGAGGGGGGAGAGGGTGAACGTTCAGTGTCCGAAAGGACAGGGAAGGTATACCACAAACTCTGAGTTCAGGTACTGCTCCGGCACTTCGAGGTTAAGCATAGAGCAGAGGAGACCGATCGCCCGTGCTTTCGCCATGTCGGCCAGCAACACAGACTGCTGGCCAGCGGAATCAAAAAAGAAGGGACGAAACTGCTGCACATTAGCGTATGTCCATATCTAGAGTAGGGTGTAGACTTACGGAGAACCGACCGAGTAGAGCTCGCTGTAGACAGCAAAGGGGACATTCGGACAAGAGTAGAGAATACCGACTTGCACTGACTTTCGACGAATAGCTGACGACCACAATGCGGCTCGAACAGACAGGCTTGACAGAAGCCGTGAAGGATATGGTGGAACTGTCTCGACCAGAGCCGAACCTTAGGGCTTCTGAGGCCGTTCAAAGGGTTCTCGGGTTTAGATTGGCGCATGAATCGCGGATATTTTCTTGGAGGATGTTGATCTGTGCTCTATCAAGGGCACTAATCCATGGCAATGGGCCAAACCCGGGACACAAGGCCAGAGACATCTTAATTTCCACGGATGATTGGCCCTAAGGGTCTTGGTCCTTTGGGTGCTAAGTCTGGTGCGGGCGCCAGGATCCACTGAGAGTGACTGTGTTGTTGCGAGGCTATCGATGGACGATAGCGGGTCTCTGATGGATATACTATTTCACGTCAATGTTCCCATGAGCTTCCCTCGGCACTCCCAAATCCTGTAGTTCCAGAGCGATGTCAACGGAGAATGCTCTGGCTTTCTCTCGAGATTGAGCGGCTCAAGTTGCCCGCTAGCTGCGTTAGCCATCCGCTGTTATGACCATTGCTTAGTGCTGGGTAAAGAGTACAGCGCATCTGATATATGCACGCGCTCTCCTCGTGTCGCTTTAGTTCTGCCTCACTGGCGCGAGGCAAATCACAGCACGCCGTCAAACGAGAGTAGAATAGTCACAGGCGCGTGCTCCTTCCCCAGAGGCTCGTTTAATTTTCCCACAAGTGAGTACGGAAAGAGAGGCATGCTTTACAGGTGGACCTCGGAGGTGGCATTCCTAAATACATTCACACCAACAGCGACCTGTGGTTCAAGTACCAAGCAGGCCAGAGTCACTTTCACTGTCTGCTTCGAAAGTTTGCCCACCGGTCAAGGAATCCGGGAGCTCACAGTACGAGACGCATCGCGCCAAAGTTACCAAAGTCGAGCTGTTCTAGTAGCGACCTAACATGGGCCATAAGTTGGTCTTGTTTTGCTCTATTATGTAGCGTAATCGTCTCACGGTGTTTCTGTTTCGCGTATGAGGAGGTAGGGGGTGGCAGATTCGTCGGATAACTGCTGGATGTTGCCCAAGGGCGCCTGAACTATCAGCGGCTCGTCTGCTATTACCTTGAAAGATGAACCAATAAACAGCTGTCCTGTTGAGAACTGAGAAGGACGAACGGATGACCGATATAGGTCGCGACCGACTGGCCTTATGGGCAATGATAACGTCGCAGCCGCAGTCGTCCTGGGTGATGGGCTCTAGGCCATCGGAAAACGTTGCCTTAAGCGTTGCCGTGTTCATAGGTCCATTGCCATCCGTCAAGTGCCGCCCAACAACATGCGTAGTTACTGGCTCAAATAATGCAGAGATTTCAGTGCAGGTTTGGTACACGGTTTCCGATAGGCTGTCCTTCAAGAATTGGTAGATGACGGCCCTACCCTGTTCCTGGGAACCTCTTACTGGATCACGGTGGTTGGTTTCTAGGTACCATTGTGGGTCTTCCACTTTTCGCTGGAGGTTGGCTTTACGGGAAGACGCCATGCATTGTTCACGATTGTTCGTAGTGATAGCCATCACAAGTGGTGGGTTTGCATCAACATTGCCCACCGCTAATGCTTGGGCAAAGGAGCTATTGACAGGAAGCCCCCGGCGCGCGAGCTATCAAGTCCAAACAGATGCTGGACCCCAGGACTAAGCCCTGACATAAGTTAAGCGGCCATGTCAACAATTGCCACCCGGCTCAGCATGCTCGTCCAATGGTAACTTGACCATTTGAGTTTGCACCTAGCCCTAGCTCGCCGACGGAGCAGGAAGGATCGGAGTGTTGTTTGTGGCCCTTTGAATTGCACTCCCACTCCGCTGCATCGAAGGCACTTCCATGGCGTCTCCAGGTATCATGGGGAAGACGTAGTAACAATCTTTTCGAACTGACTCAAATGCGGGCTCCCCATATTTCCGAGCACCTTAGGTCTGGGCAATTTCTGAAGATGCTCGCTGCGTGATTGTCCTTGGACACAGAGGCGTAGGACAGATGTGATACAGCACCATGGTGATAGTTCATGTACTCAGTAGGTCGCTGTTGGATGGGGACCTTCAGTTCACCGAAGGCACGCGAGAGACCGGCTCTGGTCATGATAGTCATGTCAGGGACTTTGCCCTGCACGGGACGGTCGGTGGTGGCTTTGTAGTCACCAAAGGTCAGCTCGACCCCTGTGGCTGCGCAAATGGCCGACATGACATGGACCAAGAGAAGCATAATCGGACGATTGGTTAGTAGTTAGGAAGACCTTCACGCCAAAGTCCATATAAACCCTAATTTCACTGCTGTCCATGTTGATATTAGCTCGCCGCGCAGTCCAGTAAATGAAACGCCATCGCGCTTCAAAAGGCTCCTTGAGCAGACGCACGCTAAGACGAGAGTGCTAACTGTCAAATAGCTAATGGATCTCTTGTGTGTTTCACCCCATCAATTTAGCCGTGTACAGAGCCGCTTGTATCGTGCCACCTGGTTCAGGTCGCTTGCCTGTCAAGGTGTGCTGCATCCCGTGCAGCTCCCCTTCGTATACCGCAAGCAGTGAACCTTGTTTGAACCCCAGCTTTGCTTGTCAGTTCCTGCACGCGATGTATGTGTACATTAAGCGATCAAGGCATATTGTCAGTTGGTGGAAGACCAATGGCTCAGCTGTTGGTAGAGCTGTGCGACGTGAGCATCGATGATCCGGGCAGGACTACTGAAATCTTGCGTATGATGGATTTCATGGTAAATCGAGCTGTCAGCAGTGATGCAAACATTCCCTATAAGCTCCCAACAGTGGCTGCTCCTGGGACAGATAGGGTTTGTCCCTGGTAGAAGCTGTGCTCGCCGCAAATACAGATGCATTGTCTGTGTCTGCAGGAAACTTTAATGCGCCATGTCGCAAGGTCCAAGCTGCTTTTCCAGCCCTGTTTGTTAATACTCTTGCATTAGGTGATCAAGAAGCAGCAATGGCGCCCATCCGCATGTCGCTGCTTCGTGTGCAAGTCAGACAAGCTATTTCGCCCCATAAAACACACATCTTCGCCCTCCCGTGTGGTGGTGTATCCCTCAACCGGGTCGAATACCTTGAGGCGCATGAGCATACGCCGTACCTCGCTGAGGATAGGACAGAACAGAAGCAGGCCACTTAGTATCATTAGTGGTTTGAGTATCATCCGACAATCCGCACGGAATGTATTTGTAAGCGTCGCAATGGTTGGCGCTGAGGTACTTTAGATGTGGAAATCCTTCATTCTTGTCCCTCCACCCGATGTATTGGGAAATGCGACATGTCCTAGGTCTTCAAGCAGGTGATCTGACAGGCTTGACATAGAATTATCTTCAGGCATTGCTGAAGTAAGGCCTCGACGGCGTGCTCCTCGCATTACGTTCAGCTTGCGGGTCGTTTTCTCGCTCTTTGCTAATTTTATCTAAAGCCCTGAAAACTCCTTCTGGAGCTCAGCATATCGGGAATGTAACATGCCATATTGAATAATAACTGCCTCCTTTAGGTCCTTAGCTGCAGCCTTCCACGTTGAATCGCGAGGAGGTGCGGGGGACGGCAGTCTATCTTGGCTAAGTCAGGTTAAGTTAGATTCCAGATAAGGCTGAGCGAAGAAGCTGCTTTTGCGAAGCATCGTGGGTGTTTTTTGTGAAGCATCATGGAACACCCACCTCTCGTCTCACCCGGTTAGATGCCCCTGAGCTCATTGGAAGCTGCTTAAAAGCCAACTTCGCCTCTTTCCTCTGGAGCTTGTCTAGATGGAAATTAGTGCTCTCGTAGACTCTCCTTGACCTTGTCGTCGTTGCGGATGTTGTTGTGGCACGACAGTCAATGGGAGAGCTGGACCTCCAATATCAAGGCCAAACACCTCATTAAGATGTGGACGGAGGGGATGCAACACAAAGTCCATATCATAATGGAGGTTGGAATCTTTTAGATTCACCTCCCCTTTGGTAATAAGGGAGTACATCCCACGGAGTAAACCTGCATCCAAACCAAGCCCAATAAAGTTATAAGCCTCAAGGCCGATGAAAACAAGATCTTTCAGCTACGGGGCAGGTTTCATACAGGTCACGCCAAGTCGCTGTAGCGAGAAGAAGAAGGACACCCCTATCAAATTCCAGACTCGTGTTCTTCTCAGCATGCATGAGGAGTGTCTGGAGTGTCATGAAATTGTCTTGGGTGCACTTGTTTTCCATGACCGAGTGGATTCGCACAATCTTTCAAAGACAGCCGCCATCGATCTCAATCCCGTCATGGATGAACTTTGAAACGCGTCACACCAAGTTTTTGAACTTGGAGGCATGCGTTTTCGTTGGGAGGAGATTATGATTATCTTGCGGATCTCCGGAGGGAAATCTGGGACTCGTGGCCTTCCTGTGCTTCATCGTGACTATGAGCCGACGCTGACCTAGTTGACATTGGAACTCCGGATAGAGCGACGATGGACGATGGTGCTGAGTTTACCTGGAGTTCTGAACACATGCATCGGGGTATCTTGCGCTGGTTGGTGTGAAGAGACAACCTGTAAGATGGGCTAGGCAGGATTCGCACAGTCTCTCCTGGTTGGGATCCTTAGTCTTGCAATAGGACGGTGACCACTGGAAGCGAGAGTTCTTTGAGGAGTGGATAGACTGAACCTGACTGTGTTAGCAGAGTTCCCAAAGAATTGACTGTGGTATGTCGTCGCTTTCTATTCAATCGTAGTTGCATCTACACGCCAGCCTAAGAGGGACGCTGATTCCAGTACGATGATCTCGCTCACAGACATAAAGCAGCTCAGTCTCGCTGAGCGTATTACATCTGATGTTCGAAAGTCCACGAGATCACGATCCTGATATCCAGGTTCCTGTTACTGCCTGTGCGTAGAGTATATTTTCCAAGGCACCCAGGGGATCCACGATCTGCAAAAAGGTGCAACCAGGCTGGTGTATATGCGCACCAGAGCTGCCGGAGAGAGGTTCGGAGTGACAGGAAGAAACTCTAGGCTTTTCTATATTGTTTCAATATGACCGATGCATCGTTGATCTTCGTCAAGGATATGGTAGTATACACCCACTGAGGCTAGCATGCAGGGCAGAACAGCCATGAAAAATGCAACGGCCCTTGTATGGCCGTGCTTGCCTTGGGACTCCTGTGGTCACGACACCGCAACGCGGTATCATGTCACAAGTAGACAGGAAGACCCCCTGTGAGCAAGTCCTGTCAACCTCCACAGAAATCGCCAATGGCCGTTATATACCAATGACATTTGCACTTTGATTGCTATGCTCGTGGCAGAATGAGTGGCGCCCCCTGTCATCATGCGGTCGGTGCGAATTTGGACCACTTGTGCTTCAAGCGTGCCTTCTTCGTAGGTTCGTTTTCCCTGACGCCGGACCAGCGGGCTCGTCTACATGATAATCCCGACCACCGTGTTATTTTTCATCCGCGGGTACTTCAGCGTCTGCTAGCCACCACTATTCCAGTCCAAAATCTGCCAGCCACTCCTCCCGTGTGCGTGCGTTGTCGCGGGGGCGAATCTCCGTGTCTAGCTTTCCAAGAAGGTGCGGCAAAATGTCCAGACCATATGCAGTCTCGGGGCTATAGGGGTCGTATAGAGCTGGGAAGTCAGTGGTGACGTCTTCCAGGTCCAGCCAGACCCACTCGATAATGCAGACCGGTATGTCAGTTAGGACCTGGTCGCGGGCAGAACAACACGAGACGCTTAGGGAGAATACATGGTCTTCGCCAGGCCTACCGAATGCACCCACCACATGCGGCTATCCCTGAGAGGCGCTCCCCATAGGGCAAGGCAATGCAGCTTGCTCAGCAACGATCCGGGTTCAGGGGCACGGCCCGATACCCGTTGGCTGCAGCAGTCTGAGTGTAGAGCTTTATGTAGAGACGCCCCAGGTCCTGCAAAACAGGTTCAAGGCGCTTCGTGGCGTGGTTCCCTTTGATCGTCCCTTTGTTCAGTTGTAGGTATTAATGGGCCCTTGTTAACCTGCCACTGGGTTCTTCTCCGGCACTTGATTCTTGACGTGGGCGAACACACCGTGTTCGTCTTTGTATCAACAACGCCAATACCGATCTCCCCAGTCGGCTGTTGAGTCAAGATGCGCCGAAGTGATCCTGACTTTATCCAAGGGGAAAGTCCACGCTTCTGGATCCTGGAAAGTGATTGTCATGTCGAATTGGATGCGATCCTGGTTGAATACACGGATCCTGGCCTTGTAGCACGCAGTCCATTCGAGAGAACATGACCTGGGTAATAAGGAACCAGCCGCGGGATTGCGAATGACTCCTCCATGTAAACCCCAGCCTCATCATCAGAGAATCAGGTGAGGAGGTTCCATTGTTGAGTAAGGACCAGACTTTTGAACCTTACGTAGGGCTAATATGCACCCCAGCCAGGACGCAGCAGCTGTTGCATTTTTGCTCTGAATGTGACTGATCGAGCAAGATGACAGATCGGCCTCGTGGTCTGGCAAAACACTGCGAGTTTGGCTCAAACGGTAGCTCTCAGGACTGGCTGTGCGGAGACCCATCAAGTATGAGGAAGACGACATCCGGTCAATGGGCAGGTCCTACACTGTCCGACGAGACATGAATAAATGGAAGCTGCTTATGATAACAACAATTCCTCAGGCCGTATTGTAGGCGATGTTTGTAATTGGAACCCTGGCAGGTGCTGCCTTGCAGCTGCCTGTGTAGGTGTGGGTGTGCTAGAGCTCCATCGTGGTTCAGGTACAGATGATTCCAGGGCAGTGTTCGGAGGACTGATTGAATCTCGCGCTATTGTTTGCGATGGGATCATGTGCATATTCCATGGCCAAAAGCCATGTTACCCGGCGATTGAAGCGGGGATTAATCCGAGGTACGGTTTAAAACGAGCAGGCGGAAACAGGCCATCCGTTCGGCCTCAAGCTGGATGTGTCGATACCCTAGGTACAGGACAGTAGAAAATTCATCCACTGGGAAGCCTTTATTCCCCTGTCAAAGAGCCAAGCCACTCGTGGCATCCTGCCTGACGTTGACCGCAAGACATGGATCACCATTGTTATTATCGGTAGACATGCTGAGGCTGTCCATGAATGGAAGCATGGAGTTGTAGAAACATTATGCATCTAGTGATAATGCCCATGCAAAGGGGCCCCAGTGCTCCCACTGGACAGTTTGTGCGGGTCCGAAACAAGGCCTGCCTGACGTAGACCAGGCGAACGGCGTGCCTGGTCAAGCATGGCTCTGTGAGAATCACCACGAAGAGATCTTCTGTTATAGGCAAGCATAACAAGGTGTTCAGGGTTCAGGTGTAAATGTGCCCTGAAGTTGTAGGTCCACGCAATCACATTCTTGTCCGTGAATAAGCATTTGCGGAGGGACCACAGACGGACGGACAAGCTGGGTGGCTAAGCGGATTTTCGCGTTGGGGCCACTAAACCCCAGCATAACCCTGGGCCTTGTGTGCCTCGGGGTCGTCTTCACAGGCTTGCTTGAAAGCCATCTGTAACTTTGATTTTGCGAAGACGGTGTTTTCCATCGGCCACTTCTAGTTCCTCTCGTGAAAGGCCTAAAGTCTCACCCCTCTAGCAGGGGCCAGTGCGCGTAAAGGGGTGCCCAGGTAACAGCATCACGGCGCCATGGAAAAATTGGACTCCAGTACTAGTCCTGGCGGGTCTTTTATGCAGTAAAAAAAAGCCAATGCGAATATGGCTTTAAATAAGAGAGATAGAAGCCTGGTGGGAATAAGATGCGGTGCAGGAAGAGGACAATTGCAAAGTACTCCAATATAGACAAGCGTTGAAGCACTGCCTTAAGCTAGCCGCACCGTTGCGGCAGACGGTCATCACTTTTGCTGTGATATGTATTTAGGCGCGAAACACACCCACCTTGTGCCGCAGTTCCTGTGCCGATATACAGCCGGTACAAACCACCCTGGTTATGCAGCACAGCGGACCCTTTCAAGGCCCGATGGCGATTGCGCATAGGCTGGCAATTGGCATTTTTCAGTTGCCAATGTAACCAGCTCTGGCCTCTTAGGAGCCTGTCTGTCTTGTGTCTTGTGGCGTCGGGATTAAAATGGGAGAATTTCCCACGCCTGGAAAGCGTTCGAACAGCTGGTCCCTAGTTTATGTTAGGATACTGAGTGATCAGGAATGATATAAATATGCACGCCAATCGCATCACAGAGGCACTAACCTTTGCACATGTATATACTTAAAGCTTGTTTGCAATGCATTGATTGAACAGCGTGGATGCGCAGCTGTATATAAAAAAAAAGACGGCTTTGCATCAAGCTTCTTATCTCCTAGACCGCACAGTAAAAGTACCCGGCCTTGCCCCTATATAGAAGTTTCCAGGGTCATCCTTATCTTGGGGTAGTCAACGGCGTATGTCTGCCTACACAGCCGCGGAGGCTGCCCTGGAGGGGGGTGGGTACTTCGGCATTAATTAGTTTAGTTAGTATTAGTGAAGTAAGAGCTAGCACGGGAGTGGCTGAGTGTATAGGCGCAGCCGCGGAGGCTGCTTCCGTGGGGGTAATCTGGGAACGGGGTGCTATAGTCGGTGTTAGTGCAGTCATAGAGAGTTAGGGGTTATTTATGCTTACCTGGTATTGAGGTCGCGGGAGCCACCGGCATAGCCGCGGAGGCTGCCCCGTTGGGGCTTGCTTCTATATCTTCCTCGTCTTCAAAGACTTCGGAAAGTGGGATCCCCCTGATTCTTAGTGCAAATCGAATCCAGTACTGAACCTGCTCTGGTGTTAACGGGGTCCTTCGGGGTCGGACCCCGAGCCTACGCTGGGGTGGCGCCGTTGGGTCGACGCCAACCCATTCGGCACCCGGCTCATGCCAGTTCCACACTTCTGTCTCCATTACAGGGCCTAGAATACATTAGTATCAGTTTATAAATAACAACTCGAGGTTCTCGGATATCATACATACGTCTGAGGCGTAGTCTCCGTCAACATATGCCAGACCTAACCCGTATCGTACAAGTACATGCTAGGCCTGCTTCTACAGCACATCATGGCGGTCTTGTGCATTGTGTCTCGAGTACGCCCGCAGGATCATGAGGGCTATCCGGTTATACGGTCCTTTCCACTCATAGGGGGTCGGTCGTTGAACAACAAACGTGACTCTGGTAGAATGAGTAGAATGACCTTGATGGTTTCGCCCTATAGATCTCCAACGAGTCGTGACGATGGTCATATGGTACTCGTTCAGTACGGCCGTCGTCTGCCTTGTTCTTCTCGAAGCCCCGGTTTCGCTGATATACCGACGCCCATTGGGTGAAGCCCTTTTCAATCAAGCAAAATGCTTTTTGAACACAGTCCGGGTGCCCTTTGCAGATTGCAGCAGCCAGATACCTTGCCCTTTAATCCGCCGAGCAAGCATACCTGCAGTAAGGACAGGCGGACAGCCAAGGGTCAGATGTCGGGTTTAGAGGCGGGAGCTCTGTCATTGGGCCAGTGTATATCAGTCGGCGACTCCCCGCTCTGTACTAAGAAACTCCACGAGTTTGGTCAATCCGCCTAGCATGATAAGAATAAGAAATATCAGAAGAGTGGCCGCAAGGAGCTTCAAGATCTCAATGAGGTTCGGGTCCGAGATTTGCTGATATGGAAAAAGCTCCAAATTAGGGGGCAAAGGTACTGAGTCGTGCTGCGTTCTTGGACACACATCAGTTGTGCTTGGATTCCAAGTACTGTAGTGTCGAACCACCAGGATCAAAGGATTCTCCAATCAAGGTTGAAGGCCGAGCCAAACTCAAACAGCGAAGAGAGACGGGGTGGAAAGTGCATATTTAGCCCTATCTCTGAAAATGTTTTCGTAGCAAAGCACAACGTTGCTGAGTTGCAAGCGCCTGGGCATTGACCACACAAACGGCAGGTCCCAAAGTCTTCTCACTTGCTCATGCTATGAGATTAAGCCCAGCCGGGCACCGTTGTCGAGATTGTGTTCGGGGATGGCCATGTTGGCCCTCCAGAGCTTGTCAAAGACTTCTCTGACATCGGTGACCTTTCGTGTCACGGCAATGTAGTGCCCATCTGGCTTCTGCTACATCTCTGCATGCATTTTGATAGGGATGCTTCAAACTTTGGGATAATCGCAAGTTAGTCTCATTGTCCGGTCTGTGGGATGCGACAAAGATCCCCGTGCTTTCTTTCGCACGCACCTCCTTCTTAATCATGATCTTCAGGTCCGCAAATATACCGAAATGATTCTCAAGAAGATTTTCCGAAGCTTCATCAATAACTAGCGGCACCTTTGGCAGCAAAGGCATTTTAAGACTCTTCTTCCGAGTTCCAGACGTTGCGGCAGTCAGACTAGAAGAGAAGGACGGACAAGTAGCGGGCACGTCCGCCCCTGCAATAGAAATGGTATCAAGAAAGGGCGTGAGCATGTGAGCTACGCTACAAGTATCAATTACACTCTCCTGTGTAGGGCAAATCCAAATCACCGCCGGGCCCATATACTGGCAGCCTGTGATGGAACGGACCATGCGACGACGAGGCTTTCCTCTTCGGCGTACCTCATTTGAAGCATCATAGAAGTGCCCATTCTGGACCAGTCGACGTATCGGGAAAGCAGCACGCGGACCTGGAAAGGACTGTGGAAGAAGGTCTCAGCGTCCTTGGATTGCGACAAGCAAGAGAGGGCACCGCAAACCAGTGCATCAGGTTCTGAAAATCTTCAAAGCCTACAGGATAGAAACTCAGATATTCTGAGTCTGTATGACCACGAAGCAGGGACTCTCTGTGCTCCTCGATTACCTCACTTTCCGGCCAGTCGGTAACCGTCAATGCTCGCCAACATCACAAGTGCTTCGTAGGTGGCTTCACTCACGGAAAACAGAGGCATGCGAGTTTGCCCTAGTTCTGAAGGCGAGTCCGCTAATTCGGTCGAGCCGGGACGCATGTATCGAAGAATCCAGGCTGTCCAATGCCATAGGACGAGCAGCGAAAGCAATGGGGGTCCCCGTGGTTGCGTGCATCGAAGAACCTAGACCGTCTAGGGTAACGGTGTCCTTGCGAGAGGACTTGGGCTTGGTTATAGTCGCCTCGACCGCCGGCTCAGAAGTGCCCTCATCCTTGGTGCATTCCCCCTTGGGGTTGACCAAATATATCAAAGTCAGCACTGAAATGACAAAGCAGTCATGGTTTTTCACAAACAGCAGTGCTCCCCCGTAGCATCTCGAGTAACGCACCACTTAACGCGCCCGAGACACACGCGAATGTGGCGGAACTGCATGTCCGCCTCCCACACAACCCACGGGACCGTTCGCCGCGCCTAAGACAGTCGTCTGTATCGATCCTCTGGGCGAAAAACGCCGTAGAGGAATGGGGCCGTGGCTGAGTGAATCAGTTTGTTGGTAAGTGATGAGGAGAGGAGGTCTTCCAGGTCATAATCATGATCTAGGTAGGATACCACATGGGAAAGTAGTTCAGTAGGCAGATCCAATAGGACATCCATGATCCAGGACAGTGAGATTTGGATACGGATCAGGCGGGAGCAAATGTAGAAATTGACGATGGTTGGGGCGAGCAGTGTCATTGAGATGAGATGGGGAATAGTGTGAGAGAAAGAGGGAATGGTCAAGGATAGAGTAGCATCTAAGGGCCCATGATTTTATCTAGCAGGAATCAGATACCACGGAACGCGGACATTGCTTTTCTAGGATTGCAACCGCTAAGCCAGGGATATGCTGGCCATTAAGAACAGCGAAAAAGGACCTCATATATGTGATGGCCTGGTATCTTCCTGCCTCTATGTTGTTGCCCTCTTCTTTAGCTTCATTACGAGGGTTTCGGCATGGTAAATGGGTGGGTATCTCGGAGTCCGGACCCATTGACCTCTTCGAATAGGAGCTGAGAAAGAGGCCGGCAACGAGTATTCAGTATTTGTAAGAAGTGACTCCCCAGGCACTCCAAGACGTTCCAACCGTCGGCTGGCCAACGTAGTCCGCATTACCCGCGTGTGAGAGAAGGCTTCAGCGGTCTTCCCAGGGATGTTGGGTTGTGGCATCTGACCTTGTATGGAAGCAGATGGCCGTTCCTTCTGTCACCCAGACGCTTGACAAGCTCGTTGCCTGATCAGGAGTTGAGCACTATTAGTTTGACAATTCATAAACCACGTTGCCGTAACTACAACTTCATTGCATCACCATCGACAGCAACCTGGATGAGCCGTGCCCCATAGTACGTCCTTTGCACGGTCCGAAGAACTCTTAGACAGAGCCAAGGCACTTTTCGATGCTGCCTGGTACGCATAGTCGAGGATTGACCTTGTTTTGGTCAGCATATTCGCACGCTGCATGATTCTGGCATCCTCAGCGGTACCGGAATCTGCACGCATGGTCTTCTTGCATGCTTTGTAAATGATAAGCTTCATCCGCGGAAGCCAGGGTATAATACCTTGTTTGAAGATGTATTTGAGGATACCAGGACTTGCGCGGACCAGACTCGAGCCGCCCAGATGGTTTTTGTTACCTACGGTTTTCGGTAACGATGGACACCATGTCCGGGAACGGTCTCGGTAAATGCTCATGACGCTTTCCTGCGCGGGCCCGTCTTCTCAAAGGTATGTAGGACGACTGCGCGTCTCAAAGCGCCAGGGCCATGAAGCATGGTAGACGCTCGCCATTGAATTGGTAATCGGGTGTACCAAAAACCGCTCATTTGATCGAATTCCCAAACATCAACGTGCGTGGATTGGTGCGGGCAGCAGATTGCTCAGTTTGCTGGATGGCTCTGACGACTGGTAGCCAGGCTTGGGATTCACCTAGAAGAACCACTAGCGGTAGTGCTCTCTGGACCTTGCTGTTCACTGTCATAACCGACGACAGGTCATTGCCCAAGTTAAGGTTGCGATTACACACATTCATTGTGAATCTCAACGCCTTTTCGCTTTCGTCGTTCTGTGAGTGCCCATGCTTGGCTCTCAAGTCATGGATAGTATGGGTGTCCTGGGCATCAGGGAGGCGAGTCGCCGTTTTTCTGCTTATCTGCAGCTCGAGTGGCTTCAGCCTTATTCATCCCATGCTTCTTCTTCCCTTTGCTTCAAGGTTTTTCCGCTGTAAAAACCAGAGCGAAAAGAGCCTACCAGCCATGGCTGGGCCAATTGCCACCATTGGAGGGTTGCCCATGGTCTCCATAGTCCCGACGACCTTTCTTATGCCCAAGGGTCACCTCCGCATGATAGTGATGGATGAATACTTGAGATAGTCCCATCCGGTCTGATGTGGGCACAGCCAGGACATATGCTGCTTCGCTCACGGCCCAGAAGCAATTTGACTCGATGTTACTTGTGGCCTGCAATTAAATGTCCTGGGAGAGCAATTCTGGCCGCGCCCGGTGTTTATACGCCTCAGAGTCCACGAGAATCGCACCAGGCTATCCGAACAGACATCGTGGCACTTTGTGCCGACCAACACAGATCTTTGGTGACGACTTTTGGGCAGAGGCGTGCTTGCTTGGATACGAAGGTAGGCCACGAGTGCCGCACAGGACGTAGGCCTCGTAGATTGACTTGCAATGGTAGGTGGGCGAGCCCACGGCGCGATGTCTCCGTCGAGGAGACTGCAATGCCGACCACCCCAGAGGCAGCAGTGGCAAGCCAGATCCTAATTAGGTTCAGGTGGCGGTGGTGTTGGGGAGCGCGGTTTCTTTGGAGGCTGGCCATGAAGACGTTTGCGTGAAGGCACAGCGGGGTGCGCAGAAGAGAATATCTAGTCAAGGTCCGCATCAAGCTCTTCAGGAGCCTCGACGAGTGGATTTTGGGCACCGTAGTAGTTGGCATACGGGCACATATGCTACCGTTGGCATGTAGGACGGGACTTGACGCTTTGGGAAGGTTTACTCTCTTTCTTCCGA